ACAACTGGTTTGTTGCCAGAAATGTGGCTAATGAAGATGCCCTAAGATATTGTGGCGAATACTGCGGCAAGACGAAGCGAATAACGAGAAATAGACAGAATGTTCGAGGAATTACGCAGAATGTTCCACAAAGAGAAACGTCAAGTTGGATGAACACTGCGAACAGCGAGAGAAAGAGAATGAGCGATGAACTTCAGAACGTTCTAGAGTTACCATGAGTGTGAGCGCAGGTATATAAGGCCGCCACCAGACACCGGATGGAGTTAGTTACAAGTCAGCAAGCTACAAGTAAAGTGAATTGCGAAGTTTTGTAAAGCATTGTAATTGCTTTAACGAGTATTGTGAAGTGCATTTACGGTATTAGCAAGTATTGTAAATTGTTTGTTTTACAATAGATTTAACTGTACTACAATTTGGTCATCGTGAGCATTTATTTAACAATCCAGCGATACGAGCCGTAAGATATTTGGTAAATCCCATGGTGCAGCAAACAAAGGTGGCGTCGTCAGTGGTACCGCTACTTTGGTTTTGCCGATTTTGACAGTTGTGATAACTTGTAAATAAACCTTTGTTTACAAATCAGCGAAAGGGAAATTTGAATTAGAAGTGTAAAATCGGTTTAAATTGTGTTAATTTGCAATTTGTGAGTGACTTTTGAGTTGAAGACTGCGTAAAAACTATTCAAATGAAGTGCTGTGTGTTAAATTGCGACAGCCATCAAGATCCAAGATCGTAGATGCAAGTGTAACGCTGGGACGAATCGCTGCATTTTGTGTACACAGGGCACGGCAAAGCCGTTCCCAAAATGTTTCTTATTATTACATTAACAGCATTTCCTCACAATGATTTTGCATCTGCTCCAAGCAGCCCCCATTAGCAAGTTAACTAATCAATCCCGCTGGGATGCTACCGCAGTTTTCTGCAGCAGCCTTAATTGTAAAGCAATGGAGTGCACTAAAACGTTTGCTGAAGCAGCCTCAATTGCAAGGCAATGCAGTGCACTAAAATGTTACATATTCTCTAATAGATTAGGTGAAAATGCAATATTTTCGCATTTAGCAAAATTAAAACACGTTTTTCGCTGTAAAGTGAACTATTTTGGCAGTTTCAACTCGTTCTTCTTTTCGCTCTATTCTTTGTTTACTTGTGGTACACAAATGTCAACGGCGCAATCTTGTATTCTATCATTCTTGGGTAAATCCTTCATAGGGCATTCGCACGAGGCGACTTTACAGGCAACAAAAGTTGAATACGAAGTTTAATGAGAAGTTGAAAGTGAAAAACAAAAT